AGAAAGTCAAAAGCCAGCTTTTCGGTACGAACATTTGAAGATATAGCGGACTATTTGTACCTTCTTGCCTTCGAGAGCTCTCCGCCTTTTCACTATGATACATCCGCGGTTCCAAAAGCGCGTCACCGGCACCAAACTGACGTCAGCAGAGGCCAGCTCACGCATTGGACACGAAAACTGCGTCACTCGGACGTATGCGCTCGTCAACAATCAATCCGTCGATGAACATTTGGATTCGCGTTCGTGGCCAATGAGTGCCCTGACGGAACTTATTGCACTGGGGAATAACAAGTTCTATGGTAAGCATAAAAAGCACGGTGGAAGCTAGAAGTCATCGCACCGGTGCCGAAGGAATGTCACGACCACGTGATTTCACAATTCGCATTTGAGATGAGGATTAAAGCTAAGGAGGAAGAAGTAGGAAAATCGTTTCATGAACCCTTTAACCAATCAGCATCGAGCTTCGCGGCCACGCTTATCAGGCTTTACCCAACGCTTTGACTTCGTGGTCAAGAAAAGTTGTACCCAAGTACATACCCAAATACCGTTTCACGTTAAAAAAACAAAAAAACACAGTTTGTATTGTGGCATTGAACTTCGCCTGGTCACCATACCCAACGCCATGGCTCAGATATGAGATTTTTTTCTGGGTATACTTAAACATATTTTGATCCTCGCCCTTCTCCGAGCTCTCCAGCGATTCGCTTTCCCTAGTGCTTTGCGGAATAGTAGGCGCTCCAGACTTCTGGGAGTGTAGGCGGCACTCTTACCCCAGTGCACTAACGAGATTACTTTTGGGGCGCAAATTCGTGAGTTGTGTAAAGCACGTAAGTGATCTCAAGACATAAACAAAGAAAGAAAGAGAACCAAAAGCTAAATGGGGCACTCGACATTAATATGCACCAAGGCGGGAATGATGCAGCGAGACGGGAATTGATCCGACAGTCTCGCCTCGCCGTCGGCGGCTGGGGTTGTGAGATTTTTGAGAACCTTCTCTGGGAAGGATTGCTCTCGCGCCTTGGTTCATTCTTCAAGGCTGTTGGAGTTTCCAGTGTTACTATAAAGTTTCGGGCTTTGCGTTCAATGATATTAGCGCCTTTTAGGAACCGACGCGCGTTTATGTTCTTTTTACTCACTAATGAATCAAGTATCGTTTGAGGGTTCGTGAATTAATTACAATGACGAGACCCTTGGTGTAGATCTGTTTTTTGCAGGCAAAAGCAAATGGAATTCGACGTTAAAGTGTTTGCACAACGAGAGGTCCAGGGTGTCTAGCGACCGGGAAAACTGAGAATGGTCAGGGAAAATTTAATTACCGGTAAAAATCAGGGAATAGTCGGGGATATTGTCAGACAGCGAGTCCAATCAGGAAAAATGAGCCGGAAACGCCATCGAGTGCCTTGAGCAAAGACTTGAGGACTTAGGGGCAAAAAAATTCGCAATAAATTTTGCTTAGAGCGAAACATGAGCTCTGCTCACCCGATGTAGAGTGTGCTACCCGATGCAAAGGGAACAGCCGAGAAATCCAGTCCAAGCCTTGGATTGGATTGAGGGTGTGACACTGTAGGCTAGATATAGTCAAAGCTATTATATTTAGTGACAAATGAAAAAGCCGCAGACCCCAATCCAAGCCTTAAGTCGAAAGTATCCGAAAGTGTGCATCTGGCGGCCATGCTGTTATTCGGTTATTGATGTGTGTGGTGGGGCGTCGTGTTTTCAACGTGTTTCTGGAAGTGGCCTCTTTACTGACGATGTCGGCGGCCAGAAAGTGCTCGTTTAATCCGAACTGGACGAACCCGAATATTTCGGAATATGCAAGTTGGATTAAGCCCGTGCAAAATGATCCTCACAGTGCTCAATGCCTTGTGTTTTAATGGTCTTATATAAATTACAGAGAAGAGTCAAGCGTGCTGGTGAACTTTTAACATCGTAAAACCCGAGACGTAGGACAAAAAAAAATATGGCACGACACAGACACAGGACAACACAGACCTGTGGCTGTGTTCTACTTTTTTTTTGTCCTACATAATCGGTTTTACAATGTTGGTCTTTATTATTTAACCGCCTCTACAGTGGTCAGAGAATTCCACCTGAAATTGTTAGGGAAAACCTGGAAAAGTCAGGGAATTTTAAAATAATAATTTGCTAGACACCCTGGAGGTCATTTTACCCTTTGGGAATGGCGACGCTGGGTCAATACTATCGGCGAATAATTTAGCCAGCGCAGTAGGGATGCTAACCTGGGGTCCTTAACAAGTTTCACGCAGCTCTAATTACAGGTCCACATGCCGGTACAATACCCATCCAGATCGAAACGAAGAGAGGTTGAGATTGAGGCCGGGATCCCATATACGGTCAGACGAACAGGAGAAAGAAGATCCCCATTGAGGATTCCCATACAAAGCTATCGTTTTCAAAGTGGATGTCATTTCGGCTCCGCCCGCTAAGAGCTGCTGAAAAGCGTCTGTAGGAGGTACTCACTAGGCGCCTTATTTGAGAACGCTGTTTAGAGCGCATGCTCAGAACGAGCTCACATTAAAGGGCCACTGAAAATAAATGTTTTTTTTTTTAACAGTCTGGTTGGGACACGCGTGTCAAAAAATAAATTTTACGCGCATTTTTTTTTTTTTTCGTTTTCAGAGCAGTTTTGAGGGCGCGAGATTTATTTTTAATTGTGCGCGAAACGTCCACGACGTCACGGAACAGTCATTAACTCTAACCACCTCAACGTGATGGCCGAGCCGACCCAACTCTCTTCCATGCTCCCAAGATCAATGCCCGAAATACACTGTAGCCGAAACGCCGAGAGAGCAAATAAGTGGAAAGGAGGTGACTATGGACTAAATCGCGTTTTTTTTTTTTTTTTTCGCGTAAAATTTATTTTTTGGCACGGGTGTCCCAACCAGGCTGTTTAGGAAAATATTCCTTTTCTTCTCGTTGGCCTTTTAAATGCTGCTAAGATGGGCAATCTTGATGGTGTGGAATGCGCGTTTCAAAATATCTGTGGAAGCTCGCCGTCAGCACGTGCTCAGCAGTCGCACACACAGCTATGGCCGCCGTTGAGGTGGTATTCACTGGACATCATATTCAACGTGAGTGCTCACACCGCATGCTCGGGATGAGTTTTTATTTATGGTCTCTCAAATCAAACAATCTTGATGGTGTTGCAATGTGCGTGCTAGAAGCGTAGTAGAAGCTTGCTGTCGAGCACGTGCTCAGTAGCAGCTAGCTCAACTATGACCGCCAGTGAGCAGCACATATAGGACGTATTTCCTGGACACCATATTAGAGTGCACTGTTCCCAGCGCATGCGCAGAACGAATGCCCGTTTTAATACAACCGTGGAAGTTCGCCGTCAGCAAGCGCTCAGTAGCTGCGGACCATGCTGCGGACTCAGTAGTACGACGAGATCAGACCTCTGGACACGATGTGTATTATCTATTGCCAATTTCTGTGGTGTGTGTTAAAAACGTGGTGGAAGTTTGTGGTCGTCGCGCCCTTAAACAAACATCATCAAAGTTCAAAGTCTGATGACGTTCCTCTCATTTCCAATAGTGAAATATACTCAAATCGTCATAGCGAGCGTTTGTCCTATCATAAGACAGTTTTAGTATAGACGCTTTACACACGCGCCAGATTGAGCCGCCATAGCTGCCCTTCTCTTGTCTTACCGAGATGCCGAGCCACTGAAGCGGGCGTTGACGGGTCTTCACAAGGGCCTATGCTGGGCACAAGAACACAGTAGCATCTAAAATTGCAATAACCTGTCCTACTGTGGTAATGATGAAGTGAAGCGAACGGAATAAGAGGGAACAAAAACTGAAGGTCAGTTATGGCGGCGCCCATGCACAGCTGCTGTAAAGCGTCTATAGCGTTGCTGCCTCTTGCGTACGCAATACGCAATAGTATAGCGTACGCTAAAAAGGAGCTGCTCGGACCAAATTTAGTAATGCGTTACGTTTTCGAGTGAACACCGCGCATGATCTTGGTTAGATTTGCTAGAGCTGCAGAATTCCGCGTGCTTATAGCGCAACCATGCTCCTGGAAAGAAATATTGAAAATGAAAACGTGTCCAATCATTTTATTTCAAATTAAACCAAGCCGCGGCTGCCTCGTCAATCGCGCTTTTCTGAGGGGTACAGAGGATACGAGTAAAGGCCGGTTCAGACATTTGAGTTTGAGTGCGTTTGACTGCGTTGCGTCGAGAACCGAAAGAGAGTCACCGGCACATCTGTGCTTCGTGTGAAGCGTGCAATCGAATTCAAAGAATCATCTTAGCACGCGAGATAAGTAGCAGGGATGTCCTGGTTTCTTGCTGCCGCAACGCAGTCAAACGCAGTCAAGCGCAACTTTCTGAACCAGGCTTAAGAGTGCGTAGCCAAATTCGATCACGGAGCCTCCCTCAATCTTCCCTTTGAAACGGCACCTTTTATCAATGCTATCGCGGAATGAAATTCATGACCTACTGATGTCCAGTACATAGCGAGAACTTCGGCAATTTCTTTTAGAGTCGCTCGTCCATCGGCGATGAACTGTGCGAATAGGCTTAGCGTTGAGCAGATCGCAGCGTTGACGCACATTCCGAGCGGCGAACATTTTCACTGTGCACTCCTTCAGCTGCACGGCGATCTGATTCGACCGCCGTAGGTCGAACACCACGCAATTTCACGTAACACAGAACTTCGAAAACACCACGTCGCCTTTGCTGCGCCAGTCGAGGTAACCGCCATCTTGAAACTGGTGCTCTCGTTGGGTCCGAGATCTCTCGAGAACGTCCCGCAGAGCCCGCTAGCCCGCCACGCAAAATCCCCAGCGTTGCGTGCGTACGCAATACGCTAGCTCTTCTATTGCGTTCTGCGCACGCGCACTCCCGACCCGCAATTTTATTGCGTACGCAAGGCTTTAGCGTACGATCCACTAAAACTGTCTATAGACGGCCGATCACCGCTACGATTTTGGCCGTCCCCAGTCCAATGCCCGTTCTCTTTCCCCTCGTCCAGGCGTGTACAAGATCGTGGAGATGCTCATCGACCACCCGAGCATCACGGCCGAGATGCTGGCCAGCGGCTGGGCGCGCAGCCTGTCCAAGGAGAGCTCGGACTACTCGGCAGACATCTCTCCCGTCATCCTGGCCGCCCACTGCAACCAGTTCGAGATCCTGCAGCTCCTGCTCTCGCGCGGCGCCACCATCGACCGGCCACACCCGCTGTCGTGCGGCTGCCGCCGCTGCTACGAGGACACCCGCAGGGACTCCCTGCGGCACTCGCTGCGCAGAATTCACGCGTTCAGGGCCCTCGCCAGCCCCGCCTGGATATCGCTCACCAGCGAGGACCCCATCTTCACCGCCTTCAAGGTGAGCTCGGTGTGCCAAAACTAAAACCACATTCCCCCCCCCCCCCCCCCCCCCCCCTATCGTATGGGCGTTTGCAAGTACGGTCTCTGGACGCCGCCATCTTGCTGCTGGTGTGGGTAAAGACAACGTAAAGATCGTCTGATGGTCCAGCATTGCTGAGGCCACGGGGAGGGCGTGACGTCAGCCACGTAGCTTTGCCAAGCCATCCTCCCGTGTCCCTCGCCTCTTCCTCATCCTCCTCGCCGATTTCCTTTTCAAACATGAACCACACGTGACTGCTGAATGGTACATGGTTGCGTCTACGAACTGAGTGGCACCAGGTTCCACCGTGGTTCTGTCTGTTCATGATCGCGGCAGCTGACTGCGCCTGCTGCCCTTTATCTGGTCGTGTTACAATAAATTCAAGAAACTAATCTTTTTTGCGCTCTGTTATTATCGTGCAAGTGGTACAAGCTTTCTAACAATGTGCGTATCTTAATTCAGCTCGAGAAATGTGTTTTCCATCGAAAGAAATTTAAATAAACTAGCGAATTTTGACCGCGATCATTTTCTGCACGCCCGTGTGAAATATTTTGATGAGCGTTCACACAATTGAGTTTATAATACGGTTGGGGGTGTTCTTTGTATGCATCGGCAACTAACATTGAACCATGCAATTGAGTTTGACTTGGGTGTTTTATTAACATGTATTCGTGACCAACGTTGGATCAATTCAATTTGAAATGAACTTGCGGATTTTTCTCTGGAGGGTGCCAGATGACCTTTGTTGGTTTGGCTTAGAAAACCCTAAGATTTGAATATTTGCTTCGCTTTACCTTAGTTCAGAGCGCAGCCTACGCTACGGGCTGATGAAGTCACTGAAGCAGCGCCAAGGGCGCTGCTTTAGTAACGCTGCTTGGCACGACTGCCAAATTCGTCAGACTTGAAGCGGACGAAACTCCACCGCGATGAAATCCACTCACTGTAGCAACAATGGGCCAAAATACAGCGTTTGAGCAGCTCCGCGGCTCTAGGAAATTTAAGAGAACCGCTTATAAGCTCACGTTGCTGCAAAATTCAAGACGTAGTTCAACGGGGGAGTGCCGGTAAACGAAACTCGCCGTGGAAGGTTTCCCGTTCACACTGCAATGTCGCATCTTGCATGGTCTCGGCAACGCCAGACACTTTCGTTTACACAAACTGTCCCCTCGTCGTGGTCCATCGTCCGGGCATCAGGGTGTTGCACGTCTCGCCGGTCTTGCCTTCACGCTGGTCTCGTTATATCTACCAGACGGAGCGAGCGCAGTAATTCGGCGCGCACTGCCGACACATCGCGCACCGCGTCAGCTTCTCGAGTTCTGTTTTGGTAAAACCTTCAGGACGCACGACGGACCTCGACGAGCTGATCACGTGGTCCGTCGTCTGCTCTTCGAGGCCGGCCGTCGGGGCCTCACCGTATCGGCCTCGCCAACCTCGCCTTCTCTTCGCTCACGTAAACCCTACCGAGCGGAAACGAGCGCAATGCTACGGCCCACAATCTATGCAACCAACCACCCAACTCGCATACAAGAGGCTCACCTGCACCCCACGTGGGTGCGAGTATAGGTTAAACGTTTTACGGCTGGGCACCAAAATAGTGACAAAAAGGTAAACAGCGCGCAGAAAACGGGGACTAGAGGAAGCGCAGACAGGACAGGCGCTGACTCTCAACTGAAATTTAATCACAAGGAAACCAAAACAAAGAAAACAGCAACTCCGCCCACGTCACATGACAAATTCACCACGTGTCCAAAAAAAAAACATCTCTTTGCTACTCAGGCCCAGTGACGTTTGGCTTACGCAGTTCGCCAAACGTCACTGGGCCTGAGTAGCAAATAGATGTTTTTTTTGGACACGTGGTGAATTTGTCATGTGACGTGGGCGGAGTTGCTGTTTTCTTTGTTTTGGTTTCCTTGTGATTAAATTTCAGTTGAGAGTCAGCGCTTGTCCTGTCTGCACTTCCTCTAGTCCCCGTTTTCTGCGCGCTGTTTGCCTTTTTGTCAGTATGAACCAACTAACCCACATCGCCACCCTTAACCAAAATAGTCACGTGATGACCTCCCCGTGGCTGAGGCGTACCCGCGGTTTTCAGACTGGCGCACAAAGCGGTTTCCACCCACGGTGGTTAGGGTTCGAGTTCGACCAAGTTCGACTTTCTCGACCTTCCAAGTTCGACGAAAGTTCGACGAAGTTCGAAGAAACGTTCGACTTCAATGCGCATGCGCGAAAATTTGAAAACGATCTGACACCCTCTGGCGGAGATGTGCAATATTTTTTGGGATGCATCCCTTCGCTGGATCACATTACTAACTAACGAAATCATTAAAAGTACATAGTTTTGCTTGTAGTTCATTGGCGATAAGCAAGATCCAACCGTGGACACTTGGATAATAAGAAGCGCCAATGCTGACTCCGTGACGACGCCAAAAACAGGCGGCAAAAAATATAGGAAGCAAAAGAGATCGCTAAAAGAAAAAAAAAAGTGAACGGGTCTGTGTTAGCGTTTCCCAAAGGGAGACGTGCGTGGTGTTTCCCAAGGGTTATGCCAATACATTCCTTAAACATCTTTTTTTTTTCTTCTTCTGTGCGTGATTGGTTAGGCCGGTGATAGCCAACGGACAAAGACGACGCGCGTCTTGACGATGCACTTTTGACGTTGATTGATTGATTTTCTTAAGTGAGTTGACTTGAGAAAACGTATTTTATTTAATGCTACACATGGCTGCTCTTGCTCTAGGACATCAGGATCCTAGCGTCGGTTGCGGTCGAACGTTGTGTGGGACGGAGTATTGGCGATTTTCATCGCGTGCTTTTGAACCTAGTTTCACGTCTTCGTCTTTGGATCACCGGGCACTGTGAAAATCCGATTCGCTCGAGGAGGCTGCAGCGAGCAAACCTGCCGCCACGGCTTTCTGTTCCAGCCGCGCTAGGTGCCGTCGATTTCGCTGAAGTCGTCAATGTCGGCGAGAGAAGGTTTTCGAACTTCTCACCCGAAATGAACGCAGCTTACAATCCCATCATGCGGCGGAGAAACAGCTTGCGCTGAAACACTGAGACAGGTTTAGACGAGCGAAAGACAAGGCCCCCAAACGGAACCGACTCTGCTCCAGCGCAAAACGGATTCGAGCCGAGGGGTGCTCTCTGGCCGAGTTTATATAGGGTCATCGATTTTTCCGTCAGACGGTTCGGCGTGCTGAGGGCTGGGGCGGCCCGGTGCTCGCCGATAAGGCGTCAATACGCCCGGAACGCAACAAACGCAACTGAAACAAAAACCATGCCCGTAGATATACGAACAGTGCCCCTTGACAAACACACGCACGCAACGCACGCACGGACGTGCGCACATACACATACACACAGAGATAGAGACACACACGCTCACGCACGCACGCGCACATAGAGAAACACTCACACACGTGCGTGTACGCACGCCTGCACATACGCACGCGCCCACAAACACAGACACACACAGAAACACGCACTAGTATACACACTAGTGATGGACCGAATCTGCCGGACTTCAGATTCGGCAAACGTTTGCGCACGCGCGAGAACGCGACGGGACCATGGATTGCAAATGAACGCCGTGCGTTCGTGCGGTGACCGTCGTACAGCAAGCACTACCAGCGGTTACGGCGTGGTGCGGAGTATAGGCGACATGGGTAACTGTGTGTTTGTCAGCCTCTGTAAGTGTGGTTCTCTTCAATAATTTCTGCCTGAAGAAGAAAATATCGACCAGGAATGGACGCAGCCCACTGCGCAAGTGGAACAAGACGCCGTACATTCTGGATGACGTGATTTTCATTAGACATTTCCAGTGATGTAAGGAGGTAGTTAGTTGTAACATTGACTGACAGGTACTTTAAAACACTCCTCGCAATTATAGTAATCCTGTTTTCGGCTCCCAAGTAGTTTGTGCCAAACCAAAATAATATGGCATTTTATTTAGCGTTATTTTGCGGTTTTTATCTATCCGCATAAAACTGAACATAGAACTATCATGCTCGACGTTGCGCATCCGACATTCTTCAGTTTTCCCACCTTCCTAAACGTCCGCGTGTGTCCTAACATCAGAAACCGGAATTAAAAAAAAATTGGAAAGGGGCCGTTGCCAATATGAGACGCACACTATCATTCAACGCTGGCGTCAAGCAACTCAAATAACAATAAAAAGAAACATGCATATGTACAATAATATTGGTATATCTGCTGATGAAGGCTCAGCCGCCGTTGCATTTATTTTCGCGCACGAAATGGTGACTCGCGGAGAAATTTAGCCAACAGTGTTACTGCCACTATTTTAAAAATGTGCACACTTGGAGGCTTACGCTGATGAGGCCTCAAAACCGAAACTTGCGTATGCGTAAAACTGCGCCCGGTACTACCAAACCTCGTTGTCACACCAATTCTGCGAAATATCACGAAAATTGCCAGTAAACATACAAAAATGACACCGATCTTGTAGAATATCACATTATTTAATAACAACTGTGTAAATATGCATTAAAATACAGAAACTTTTTTCTTTGCCTGAAAAAACGACATATGGATTGTCTGGCAACAATGTATTCCTGCCGAATCTAGGTGGCGCAAGCTACCGCCCGTTAGAAAGGGTATATCCATTAACATCCATCCCTCCATCCATCCATCTATCCTTTGCCGAATTTTTCGAAAAGTACGGCAACCCTTCGGCTTTGCCGAATCCCGAGATTCGACGCCGAACTTTCGATTCGGCAAAAGTTCGGCCCATCACTAATACACACAGACGTGCACATACGCAGGGACAGGCGCACGCACACACGCACACTGACGTACACATACGGATGCACACGTGCAGACACACATACAAACAGAGCACCCACAGAGGAATACACACACACACAGAGGAACACACGCACACAGACAGACACAAAAGGCGTCGATCAAACAAAAGCTGGAGGCAGTTTGGGAGCTTGCACGAAGGGGGAACCTAGAATCGCGTC